CTATGGCAGTCTTCACAACACAACTTTACTAATTAATTCATTCCTGTGGCAGTCTTTACAACACAACTTTACTAATTAATTCATTCCTGTGGCAGTCTTTACAACATGACTTTACTAATTAATTCATTCCTGTGGCAGTCTTTACATCATAACTTTACTAATTAATTCATTCCTGTGGCAACATTTACAGTATAACTTCACTAATTAATTCATTCCTGTGGCAGTCTTTACAACATAACTTTACTAATTAATTCAGTTATTAAAAGACTTAATATATTACAGAACGATCTTACTTATCTCTAAGCTATGCAAATTATTATTTAGCACAGTCTCTCAATTATGGATTTGTCTTTTGAACTCCGTACTAATAAGATATTCTATTTAACCACAGAGCAAGAACAAACAGTGATAGTCTGAACAAAATCTGTTTGTTAGAATAACTTCCTCCTCTGACACCGTTTCAAGAAACCAATCTTAACATATCGTATCCTGACACTGTTTTATATCTACTTAAAAAGGATGAATGAGTTTCAACTTTATAACACTTACGAGAAGGAAACCTGCTGATGTTGTTGGCCACTCGTATCAGCATTCGTGCACCTTTCATATGATCTCCTCGTTTGACGTGTATCTTGGAATAATGCACTTATTTACCATATATCTTCCAATCAAGTGTTTTATAATAAGCTAGAGCAAGCATTATTTCACAGTAACATTTTGTATTGAATTCGGCAAAATATAATTAGTATTTTACAATGGTCAGAACTACTAAAGAAAGACTGAATCTAAACTAGTTAAAATATAACATATTTCACTATTCCCTAACTCATCAACAATGGGAATGATTGATACTAATCATGTTTTCCAACTTCATCACCACAGACAAATTAACACTTCTTTTGGAAGTGTTGAAAGGTTGAGAATGGTCAATCATGTCTGAATAAGTCAGAATCTCTTCAAATGAGCTTGCATAATAATGTTAAAAAGGCCAATACGTAAAGAACTTGTATTTATTTACTTCAAAATATAAAGTATGTATAACATGAGTTCTAAACACACTAACAACTATAGGCATAGTCAGTTAACAGTTAGAAATGGGGGTTATACTCTACAATAGATATGAAGCTGAAAGCCACAAATGACACATTATTCAGTAAAACTTGTACCTTCACCAAAATGTAGCTGTGCAAGATAGTAAGATTAGTGTACATTTCTGTGGGAATCTTGATCTTCTGCCTCATTAGTTCCTGATACATGCTGAATAACACATCATGGGCATTTCTGTAGTTCCCTGGAAAATATTAAATATCCTAAAACTGAGTTAAATTGTAGTTTGGATTTAGTAGTTAAATAAATAAGATTGATACACAAAGTTTTCTTTGTTTTATGCAAATATGTTTTAATATACAACCAATAACACAATTTACAATAACAGTTAGTACAAACAATGATTTCTAATCTAAATATACAGGTGGAGATGATGTGTAGCATGTGTAAATATATGGGTGTAAATGATGTCTAACATGTTTAAATATACAGGTGTAGATGATGTGTAGCATGTGTAAATATACAGGTGATAAATGATGTGTAGCATGTGTAAATATACAAGTGTAGATTATGTGTAGCATGTGTAAATATAAAAGTGTAGATGATGTGTAGCATGTTAAATATATGGGTGTAAATGATGTCTAACATGTTTAAATATACAGGTGGAGATGATGTGTAGCATGTTTAAATATACAGGTGGAGATGATGTGTAGCATGTTTAAATATACGGGTGAGATGATGTGTAGCATGTGTAAATATACA